ATACTTGTAACGATTGAGGACGGTTAGTATTTTGTTTAAAAACTTTTAAAATATCATTCAACTTTTAACAATACTTCATGAACTTTAAAAAGTTTCATTAGTACTCTTTAAATTTTTTAAAAAACGTTTATCGTTAGTACTATATTTTAAAAAAAGACATGAAATTTTAAAATTAGCACTAACATCATTTACCATTATAAAAAAATGTTTAAAAAAAAATTCTTACCGTTAATACATGAACGAAAGACTGTCTATCGACACCTCATAGATTATACTCAAACTTTTTAATGTTACTTTTGAGAGTTCGTGAGTATTTTTTAAATGTAGTACTAACGATAAAGTTTTTACAAAAATTCGAGGATATTTATGAAAGTTTACCTCAAGGATATTTTTTTATACATTTTTCTAAAATAAAATGGTATTTATTAAACTCTTATATTTTTAAAAATAAAATGAAAACATAATTGGGATCTCCTTTTAAAGGAATTCAACTTTATTGTATTGATTATTTTAATTGAATAGTGTAATGTACATAGGTAACATCTTAAATATAATATAATGTTTGATAGCATCGCACACGTTTCACTGGTTCGATTTCAACAACCTTATTATATATAAGATTGGATTGGACAAAGTATAATTTTTGGTATTTTAATTTGGTGTTCTTTATCAAAATAGAGCAACGAATGATTAAGAATATTACCGTGATATTTCAATATAACAAATTCCCGTCCCTTTCTCATCAATTTTTTGGAGTTTTATTTTGAATTATTATTCATTAACTTTAACAAGACCGAAGAAAATGAATAATGAGGTGATGTTTTAGACCTATAGAAATTGTAAGGGCAACACAACTGCCCACAATTTTAATAGAGCAGTGGTTTCGTGTGAGATCCTACATCGATCGGAGATGAGAACAAAACATTTCTTATAAAGATGTGGAAACCTCTACCTAATAGACACGTTTAAAAACTGTGAGATTGGCGGTGATATGTAATGAACTAAAGTGAACAATATCTGCTAGCGGTTGACTTTGACTGTTACGTATCATTAGGGGATTCCTATTTGTCAATCGTAAGAGTAAAATAGTTGCCCACAAACTTGCTTCATGTCAGAAACATGGCTTGACAACCACCTTACTACTAGTAGCGAGCTTGAACGGTTATAATTCGTTATGATATTCTTCTTTGTTGGTCGTAAGAGCAACATAGTTACCTACAAACTTGCTTCATGTCGGGAACCGTCGATTTGTTTTTAAGTTGACTCTTTTCCAACCTAAAATAACTTTAAAATAAAAAAATATTTTTAAATATTTTTAAAAAAATAAAAAGTATTAATAAAATTTTTAAAATTGAAGGAACATATATTTTTAATAACCCAACTTTAAAAAGTTTAAAGATATTTTAAAATTTGTTAAAAAATATATAAATTAAAATTTTGAAATAAAGACTATTCCTATTCAAAATTAACGTTAAATATACTTTTTAAAACTTATTTTTGAAATTTTAAATAAATTATTGAAAATGTATTTTTTTAGATGTTTTTATTAATCTAGCATAATATATTTTATTAAAAAATTTGCACATTTTTAAAAATTCGATTGAAAATAGTGTTATAGTAACAGAGGATTAAAATTAGAAACAAACCATAGTTTTATATTTATTAAAAAGATATTAAAATTTATCCATGAAAAATTTATTTACATGAAAGAAATTAATTTATTGATTTTCACGTGTGAAGTGTTATTTAAGTGAAATATTCACGTGCCTAAATATTAATTTAATAATAACAAAGTTATTATTTATTTTATTTTATTTTTTATTTTGAGTCAAGGAACCAAATTCAAAATGACCTAATAGATTAGGAACCATTAGGCGTATTTACCTTATATTATAGGATCAAATATACTTCAAAAAAAAAAAAAAAAAAAGACGGGGG